TCAGCTTAGAGGGAACACTGCTATCCACCCCTTCCTACAGAGGCTCGGTTTGGCATGAACCCAGGAATGAGATGCCAGTCACCTTTTGTACTGCGGATGACTGGCAGGGAGCTGTTTGGCCCCATTAGTAGGGTTGTCAGCTCTGGGTTGGGAAATACTTGGAGATTTTGGGGGGGGGGCTTGGAGTCAGGAGAGGGCACGGTTTGTGGAGGGGAGAGACTCCAGCATGTCGTAGAGTCCACCCTCCAAAGCAGCCATTTTCTCCAGGGGAACTGATCTGGGTTGCCAGAGATCAATTGTAATCGTGGGAGATCTCCAGGTGCCACCTGGAGGTTGGCAGTGCTACCCACTGGCCAGACAACCAGCCCCAGTGAAACCTTAGGTCTGCCTGGAGTTTAATCAAGGCTTTGGAGCTGAACACCCTTCTCTGTCCTCCAAAGGTGTTGGGGCTCGGCAGCTGCCATTGTACCTGAGCACTCTGCGTATCTTCGGTCCTCCCCTTTCTTCCGGGTCAGAGTGGCCGGTTCTGTATCTGGCATTCGCTCCACATTTTCTCAACACCGAGGAAAAGGTGCAGCTCAAAACCACATATTGGCCACTTCCGTACTGTCATTTTTGTCACTCGTTTGTCGCTATTGCTTTGAGTCCCTCCCCCTTTTCCACGTATGTTTTGCTCCCTCTGGGACTACTTTTTGTTGTTCGGTCACAGGAGTCCGACTCTTCGCGACCCCATGGACCACATCATGCCAGGCCCTCCTGTCTTCTGTCGTCCTCCGGAGTTTGCTTAATTTCATGTTTGTTGCATCAACGGCACTGTCCGACCATCTCATCCTTCTTCTTTTACCTTCAGTCTTTCCCAGCATCAGGGTCTTCTCCTTCTTCTTCTGGGACTACTAGAGAGAGCAAAACACATTGGGGAAAACGTACTGACTGCAAAGTCCCCCTGAATGGCCATAAAGCAGCCATAAATATATGCAGACAGTGCCATAAAACTCAATGATCAAAGAAAGTCCAGAGGGTACCATAAAACCCGATGATCAAAGGAAGTGAAAGCTGGCATGCAATGCGGAGGGGAATTTCTGTTCCAAGGTGGGGTTTGCTAAAACAGTGGAGGGAAACGCCAGTGCCGAATCGCCCAGTAGGACCTGGGAGACCTGGGTTCAAATTTCTGCTCTGCTGTAGAAGCTAGCTGGGTGACCTTGGGCCACTCATACTCTTAGCCTAACCTACCTCACAGTCTTGTTGTGAGGATAAAATGGAGGAAGGGAACCACCTAAGCAACATTCCCTCTAAGTCGTGGAGTCTTGTGAGCAAAAATTCTACTTTGTGAGCTCCTGGCATTCAAGTTGTGAGTGAGCGATTTGGCGGCTGCATCAGTCAGTTTGCTCTGGAGCCCTCCTACCCGAGCGAAGACAAAAATCTGTGAGCCGGAGGCTAAAAAACTGTGAGCTGGCTCAAACTAACTCAGCCTGGAGGGAATACTGCACCTAAGCCACTTTGGGCCCTTGTTCAGGAGGAAGGCCTCCAAGGAAGTCAAGAAAGCAAGAACTGATTCCCTGTGTCATGAGACCTGACCCTAAGACAAAACCAAACCAGGGCCCCGGTCACACGGGCCAGATAATGCGGGGGGGAGGGCATGGCTGTTTTCCCTGGAGCAAAATAAAGCACAGTAGCCCGATCACACGATCCCCCGAGCCTTCACGCTTAGACTGTTAGCTGGCGATCACACGGTGATGCTGGAGCATGGCAAAGAAGCAGCGCAGCAAGCGTTTTGCGTTTGTGCGCATGCGCAGTCCCGCGGAGCAGCACTGCTTTCAGTTTTGTGTTTGTGCGCATGCGCTTATGAAAAACATCCGGTTTGCGGCGGGACGTGGATGGGTGCCGCCGGATGCCACGGGATACTAGCGCTCCCGCAATCGGACGCCTGCCTGTGCCGGCGTCTCCCGGATACGAGTGCACTTTCCTCGGTACTTTTTAACTCTGCATCTTCGGCAGGACGCCACGGGTGCACTACGCTTCCCAGATGTTGCGGTGTGATCGCGCCCCAGGAAACCGCCCGACGTTTGGGCCTTTAGCACGGCAAATCCTCGGTGTGAGCGGGGCCTCTGCAAAGCAAGAACTGATTCCCTGTGTCCTGAGACCTGACGCTAAGACAAAACCAAACCAGGGCTCTTGGGATGGTGACGGAGTGACGCTTTTGCCCTAAGTCCCCCCCAATGCTCCCTCTAAACTGTCGAGTCTTGTGAGCAAAAATCCTACTTTGCGAGCGACTGGCATTAAACTTGTGAGCGAGCGATTTGGATACTGCATGAATTAGTTTGCTCCGGAGCCCTCCTTCCTGAGCGGAGACAAAAATGTGTGAGCCAGGGGCTAAAAAACTGTGAGCTGGCCCCCACCAACTCAGCTTAGAGGGAACACTGGACTCTCCCCCCCCCCCAGTACCTTGCTGATTCCCCAAAGGGTTAACGGGGAGAGAGAGGCAGCTGGTGTCTTTTCCCTGGCATGGCTTTAATGGGCGCCCAGCCGAGGGCTTGTTAGGAGCCAGAGAGCCCTGATGCCTACCTGCCTGTTGGGAGGAAAGGATTAAAAAATTCAGCTGCCAGAGAGAGAGGGGGGGGGAGGGAGGGAGGGAAGGAAGGAAGGAAGGAAGGAAGGAGAGAGAGAGAGAGAGAAACTCCTGCCCTCCTCCCCGGTCTCCCTCCACCGTCAGTTCCCAGCACGGCAGGCAGGCAGGCATGAGACTTGGGCGCTGCCACCTTCTCCACTCGCCTCGTGCAGAGCCCAAAGTTGGCACCGGGCGCTGCTGTTGCTGAGGGGCAAAGGAGGGTCGGGGGCACAGCCTGCCGGCAGGGGGGAGAGGGAGGTTGTGGATCCAGAGGGGCTGGGAAGAGACCCGGAGCAGGAGCAGCAGCAGCAGCAGAGCCGGAGACTTTCCGGTTCCGGCCGAGCGGCGGACTCCAGGATGGACCCCAAGGAGCGGAAGAAGATCCAGTTTTCGGTGCCGGCTCCTCCCGGTCAGCTGGACCCCCGGGCGGTCGAAATGGTAAGGGGGGGGGTTCCTTCCAGGTCAAGGGATGGAGCTGGCCGCCAGGGGTTGGGTGCAATGTTCCCTCTAAGCTGCGAAGTCTTGTGAGCAAAAAGTCTACTTTGTGAGCGACTGGCGTTAAAGTTGTGAGCAAACGATTTGGCTTTTGCATAAATTAGTTTGCTCTGGAGCCATCCCTTCCTGAGCTAAAACAAAAAGGTGTGAGCCGGAGGCTAAAAAACTGTGAGCTGGCTCACACTAACTCAGCTTAGAGGGAGCCCTGGTTGGGTGTCTCCTGCCAGATCTTGCACTCTTTGGCACCCAGATCGGCAGACTCTTCATGTGTTGCATGCGCTTTCCCTTCTCCTTAATCTCCAGGAGTGCCTCGCAGGCAGCGCTTCCTCTAAGCGGTGGGGTCTTGTGGGCAAACATTTTGCTTTGTGGGCTCCTGGCATTCGAGTGGTGAGCCAGCGATTTGGCTCCTGCATACATTCGTTTGCTCTGGAGCCCCATCCTTCCCGAGCGAAGGCGAAAACGTGCGAGCCGGAGGCTAAAAAACCGTGAGCTGGCTCACACTAACTCAGCTTAGAGGGAACACGGCTCACAGGCGCTTCACTCTTCCCAGTGGGCAGCATGGAAATATCAACAGGACTTGCTTCCAAATTACTAGGTTAAGTCTGGGGGAGTCTCCATGGGTCTCAAAGACACAGATTCTATTATGCATCTTTCCCCCTGGGCTGGAATGTTATTCGTGCAGCAGATTTTCATAAACACACACACACACACACTTAAATAAGTTAAGTACTGGGCGCTCGTGCAAACTTCTTAATACGCACCAGAAATGCATTAACAGGGTTAGGCAAGAAAACAAAAATTGCTGGTAGGCATCGTGCTCTCTTGAAAGGCGGGTGTCCAAGTCCTGAGGTGTGTTATTGGCTCTCCCCCATTCACACTCGAGTCCAGAAATCAAGACCCATTTGGGCAAGCATTACCCGGCTCAGGTACTTGTATCTCTGTGCATTCTCACTCTCGCAGGCAATCCTATGTGTAGGCTAAACTCTCCATACTTTGCAGATGGACAAACTTTTTCTGTATGCTTTTTTTTAAAAATGGCTCTCTGTGCAAGTGTTTATGTCTCAGGGCAGGTTAGGGAGGTACACAGGAACCTTTCTAAACCAAAGGAGTGTGGGAGCTGTTCGGTGCTAGGACGCTAGATCTCCTGGGGAATGTGCGGAAGCCACCTTGGCGTGGAAGAAGGGGTGGTGGTGGAAATAATTTCTCACATCACGCAAATCCAAGCCTTGTGCACTTTTCTCATGTGCTTTCAGTGATTCTGTGCTCAGGCGCGTGCCAGCAAAGACCCACACAGTGGTTGCTGAGTTCAACTTCTTGGAAATATCGGCTTGCGTTAAAAAGAAAAGCTGGTTTCTGAGCCCTTTTGGCTTGAAAGGTGGGCTTGGAAATGCGTGTGGACCTGAATTCCTAGGGAAATCTTTAAACCAGCAAGAGGGCTGCTGATCAAAATTCACTCTGGGCAGGGGGTGGGGCTTCCTGGCCCCACATTTAAGGTTGCTAAGTCCCCACCCCCGGGCAACCAGCAGGGGATGGGGGGGATAAGGTTGCCAAATCCAGGTTGGGAAACCCCTGGGGAGTTTTGGGGATGGAGCCTGGGGAGGACAGAGACCTCAGTGGGGTACAGTCAGGGGTCATTTCCTGCAGGAGCGCACAGGAGCGGAGCGCCGGCAGTAAAGAGCCCAGGGGGCGGGCACATGCAACAAGCCCCACCCCCTGCTCCCAGCAGCCCTCAGTCAGAGCAAGAAGCAGCCAGGTAAGTTGCAGAGGCTCCCTGCCCAAAACAGTCCAGTGGCACCTTTAAGACCAAGTTTTATTCAGGTACAGGCTCTCCCTCCTCTGCGAGGACAGATCTGCACGTCCGTCCCCCCTCCAATAGCTAGCAATCCAAAACAGTCCAGTGGAACCTGAGCGGTGGGTGTTGCCTTCTGACACGCTTCCGGTGACGTCAGGGGGGGGGGATATGCAAATGAGTTATACTAATGAGTTATGCTAATGAGTTCCTGCACCTCTTTTTCTACGGAATGACCCCTGGGTACAGTGCCATACAGTCCACCCTCCAAAGCAGCCATTTACTCCAGGGGAACTGATCTCTCTAGTTTGGAGATGAGCTGTAATTCCAGTGGATCCCCAGGTCCCACCTGGAGGTTGGCCTCCCTACCCTTATTGGCAGGGGTCATTTCGTAGAAAAAGAGGTGCAGGAGCTCATTAGCACAACCCATTAGCATAACTCGTTTGCATATTGCCACGCCCCCTGGCATCACCGCAAGTCTGTCAGAAGGCTCCACTGGACTGTTTTGGATTGCTAGCTATGGGGGAGGGCGGGGGAATGTGCAGATCTGTCCCTCACAGAGGAGGGGGAGCTTGTACCTGAATAAAACTTGGTCTTAAAGCTGCCACTGGACTGTTTTGGATTGCTATCGGGGGGGGGGGGGTCTGCAA